CGGCAGAGGTATATACCAGAAGCACTGGCTACTGGTCACCAGGAATCATTAATCCCCCTCCATGGCCACAGCTTTGCAATGGAAGAGACGTTCTGGATAACGCACTCACCAAATAGCCCAGGTGCTCTGAAGCCAGGGCTGGCCTGGCCTCACTTCCAAAATATGCATAATAAGTAATGGTTCAGGCACTCCGGGATAACAAAAATAGCAGCTTTATTGGGACTTTATTAAACTTTTTGTTATCACGGAGTGCCTAAACCATTATTTATTTTGCATATCTTGAATGGTATGCAATAAATTTTATTTAAAAAAAATAATAATAAGTATTAATAATACAAAAATATGAAATTGCTCACACCATCTCTATGCACACAAATTAAACCCTACCGCACACAATACATCTCCTATAACTCCTCACGCTATATAATTTCCTACACACACTACATTCCCTATATACACACACCTGATCCCCTACACACACTACATCTCTTATACACACACAACAACAAATACTGCGTCCTCTACACACACACACCGCATCACCCACTCACTACATCCCCAATACAAACTTGCACTACATTTCTTACGCGAACACAATATACATCACAAATGCAAACACACACTACATCTCCCACTTATGCCTGTACATACAAATACCCATACTATAGCCTCTACACAGAGCAGGGGTGGATCCAGAGCCTAATCTCGAGAGGGGAACACATAGATTATATAAAGAAACAATCCAGGCACAATAACCACTACATCTCTCTGTACTGGTTATGGTGCAAGGAGTGCCGCAGTGTTCTCCCAGAGTAAATAATCAAACCATTTAAGAACCGTTTGACAATTTATCTGGGGTCTGCCAGGATAGGGGCTATAGTTGGGGATTGGGCCTCTAGTAATGTGTGTGTGTGTTTTTGTGGTGCAATCTGTGTGAGTGTATGTGTGTGAGGGGTGCAGTATTTGTCTATGGGAGACAGTGTATGTGAGGGGTTCAGTGTGTGTGTACGGGAGGCAGTGGGTGTGCGAGGGGCGCTGTGTGTGTGTGAGGGATGCAGTATGTGTGCGAGGGGAGCAGTGTGTGTTTGTGTATATGGAACAGTGTGTGTATGGGGGACAGTATGTGTGTAAGGGGGGCAGTGTGTGTATGGGGGTGCAGTGGGATTACTGTGTGTAGGGGGCAGTGTGTGTATGTGGGACAGTGTGTGTTTTGTGTGATGGGTGTAGTGTGTGCATGGGAGTGCAGTGTATATATGGGGTGCAGTGGGAGCAATGTGTGTATGCGGCCAGTGTGTATATGAGGGTGCTTTGGTGGCAGTATGTGTGGGGCAGTGTGTGTATGGGGGTGCAGTGTTTGTTTTGGGGGAACTGTGTGTATGGGGGTGCAGTGTGTGTATGGGAGAGATGTGTGTGTATGGGGGTACAATGGGGGCAGTGTGTGTATGGGGGTACATGGGGCAGTGTGCGTATGGGGGTGCTGTGTGTGTATGGGGGCTGTAAGGTTGTGTGTGTTGTTGGGATAGGGGATTGATTAAAACACATAACTTATTTTTTCCTGCCAGTTCTAGTGGGGAGTGAACTCTAGTCTGCAGCTCCTAGGGCTAGAGTTCACTCTTGCAAGAACAGAGCATTGCCATGGTAACCTAGAGCTAAGCTTTGCTGCTGGCTGCCAGTGCCAGGTCGGTGAGGGAGATCTGTGATGGCAGCCAGCAGGGCCGGCGCTTGGATAGTGCCAGCGCTGTATGGACCGGCAAGGGAGAGCCTCAGCACTGTTATTTTCTTGGGGGAGAAAGGCGTGAGGTTAATTTGCCCCCCTCCACCTCCCCCCAATCACTACACCACAAACAGCCCGATCCACACATACTTTTTCCATCTGGTTTCCTACTTATGGAGACCACAGAGACAAGTCACCAGGAAAGCATGTCAATAAATTTGCTTGGCATGTGCAAAATAAAAATAGTGCATTTCCCCATGCCATGTTCTGTGTGATACACACTGCACATTACTGTGCATTTTAATGGTGAGGTGGTCATGGTTTATCCCATAGTTGTAGTCCACAACAAAAATATATAAATTGCAATTTAAATGAAGAAAATCCAGAGACTTAATGCAATACAATGTACAGTATTAAGAAGCTCTAAAGCAAAATTCTTTAAGGTATAAATGTTTGAGGTTATTATGAGCACCACTCACACACACTGCACCTCTCACACACTCTGCACCTCTCACACACACACACTACACCATTCACACACAAACACACACACAGCACTTTTCACACACACACACACATAACCTCACAGACACAAATATAAAAAAGTAGAATAGAAAAAAATAGATACATTTAAGTACATGTTTTAAAAAAACTTTCAAAAAAAATAAATAAAAAATTGCACTTGTGCTATAAAATTAGTTACTGCTGCACTGGTGGACGGTAAGGACATTTTAAAATCAACAAAGATTAAGAAAAGTGGGTGTTGGATATTAAAAGGTTGACTACCCCTGGTTTAGACATTTTGCTGTGCTGCTTACTTTTCACAGCAAGACAACAAGCAATCTGACATGGCAGCACAGTGTGATAGCCAGAAGGGCGCAATATGACAAACTGCAATATTACTGCTCTCTGTCTGTGCTTTCCATTGGTATCAGAGCACAGCAAATGCTTTATTAAGGTCATGCTACATGTTCAATACAGGAAGGAAGTTTACATCTACAATATCACATCCTCCACTGCTGCTGCCTGTGAAGGGACTGTGCATGCTCCCATATGATCAAGAGCTTACTTTACTACAGCTGGTCTAGTTAGGGGCAATATATCTATTTCCCCAAACAGACCACTTAGCACTAGAGATCCCCATGCAATCCGGATGCTGTACAGTACAAGGGTACTGCCTGTAGCCCCCTGAGATCGGCCCTGCATATTACTATCTCCAAACACCCACAAAATCAATTTTCCATCACAGTTTTGTAGATATGTAAATAATTTTAACTAGTTACTGCAAATACTTCCCTTTTAATCCACGAGGTTGTATAATGATATGGTACTTTTTTTCTTAACTTTTACTTTTTTTCTGAACTTAGATAAACAAATGTATTTCACTCGATGTCTGCAGGTACATGTATAATTGATATTCTTACTGTATACCAAGCTATTCCAAAAGCATTTCTTTAATTGCTCTTCCAGTTACAGAAACCACATATCAAGGTTACATTCTCTTAAAGGTTATAAAAAGTGCACATTATACTGAAAAATAAATAGATACAACTGTGCAGCAATCATTGCAAGTTATGGGAGGAAGAGGAATAATTCACTACATAGAACAAGCGATAGTATAATGGCACGTGCCAAGGACATTTCCAACGTAAACAATGAGAGTTTACAAAGAATTTCCAAAATACATTAATATGTTGTGTCAGTATGTAAAAATAGGTAATACATTTGAGAATAGTGATATAGTGGCAAATGAAACAGGAGATGATGAAAGGAAAGGCAGAAAAAAGGGAGAGAAGAAGAGAGATGAAGTAGTGGATAAAGGAAAAACAGAACCTCAAGTGCTTGTTTTTTATATGGTCATAAACTACAGAATGCACACTATAATCACTGCAAGTAAAAATATATAATTTATTAAGTACAAAAACAGTACCACAAAAGAATAATACAAAAACAATTCAACAAAATGACAGTAACAAGGGCAAATATAATAGTAAATAATACAATACCAGCAGAACTCTACATAGCCCTAGGGCAGAAACACGCAACCAACTGCTGCCTTTATCCAGGGTGTCTGTACCTCAGTTCTACTGTGTCTATTTATAAATCCCTCCTAACAGCTGATGGCCATCAGCATAAAATTGTTACCACCTCCAGAAGTGACATCATCACTTCAAGTGCTGGCACAATGCTTAAGTAACAAAACAGATAATGTATTGTATTATATACTATTATATTTGCCCTTGTTACTGTAATTTTGTTTAATTGTTTTTGTATTATTCTTTTGTGGTACTGGTTTTGTAATTAATAAATTATATATTTTTACTTGCAGTGATTATAGTGTGCATTCTGTAGTTTATGACCATTTGGATACTTTCAACACGTGAGGGAGTGTTTATATGGTTTGCACCTAGCCTTTTTTTATTTTCTATTATTCTTTATTTTCTTTGTGCAGGGAATAACAAAACATGTGTTAATGCCACAACGGCATATTTAAAGGCATAAACACAGTAGTTGTACATTTAAGGCATGAGAGTATCGGCACATTTTATAATTATGTTATGAACAAGCTACTCTGTTAGTGATGTCTTTCTAGGTAGACTATTGTACGAGAGGCATTAGTCTATATGGCAGAGATTTCAACAGAAGATAACAGTATGATTAGTTAAATGAAAAATTACCAGTACATGTGTATTGTTAGTATGGCTGTTAGCATGGCATCTTTTACGTATTAATGTCGCTAAACAAGCCACTGTTATATAGAAGGTGAGATGCCCTTACGATCAGGTGATAAACTGTGAGATGTGTATTAAGAAAAGAAAAATGATCTCAGTGACTTTTAAGACATATTAAGTGAGCCCAGCACTTACATCTGTATTAACTATGTGGGTATTAAAGCAAGGGTAAGCAATCAGGTTGCATGCTAGGCTGATCAAGACATGTGTGTGTAGCTATTAGTCATAGTAGAGTTGTTAGATTATTTAGCTTTAGATATACCGCTGGGTACTGGTGAAGTGGACATAAAATGATAAAATAATATACGCGTAATGATAAACATGAAATGAAACCTTTCTATGCATTATTAGTAACAAATGATAGGTAGCATCACCGGACGCCATTCATCCAACGCCACGTGCAGGCCGTGGTAGAGAGTTCTCTGCATCGGCTGCTAAGCAGCCTTCTGTCATGGCAGGGTACCGCTGGGAACAAGGGTTGGTCGGGTGTCGCTTGAGTTCTCTCATGCAGTGCTGGAGCCGCATCGATCCCCGTGCCTGCTTTGGATCGGGAGTCACTTCCCTGTGTCCATGATTTCCGCTGTGTAAGATCTTCTGGTCTCGAACTGCTGGGCCGTGCGGTTGGAGCAGGGTCCCCCTGATGTTGTGGGCGCCCGTGGAGGCCCTGGCTTCTCCGGTTCCCTCCGCTTTGCTGCTGTGCACGGGTGAGGTAGGTGCTGAGCTCTCTGCCTCTGTCTTATATCTCTGTTCGTTGCCGTCGCTGTAGGTTGTTGGAAGGAGAGCGGAGGCCTTCTTGGTGAGTGGTCGTCTGTTATGTGTGGTGCCCCATGTTGCTGCTTGTGCTTAAGTGGGGAGCGGTGCGGGGAGAGCCCCGGGGTGAGCCCCTGTTTAGGCTTTGGACGACTCACTCGTGGTCGAGAGTTGAGGTGCTCAAGCTTGCGACGGGTCTCCCGCCTCCGTCTCCCCGCTTTCCAGGTCTCTCTCTGGACCCGTGTTGCTGTTACGGGCTCCTGCATGGAGACCTTTGTGGCTGATGCCGGTAGGGCACCTAGCCTTTTTTTGTGTATTTTGTCTCTCCATGTGCTTCTCTTTTTTATAGATCCTTGTTTTTATATATGTCATGTTATGGTGGAATGTAGTGCTCTAACAATATATTACACCATTAAGTAGCACAGGACAAGTACATACTTTTCTACTGCCCCTATTTAGGAGAGTCCCTATTTCAGACCCAAATCCATCAGGCCCTCTTTTCTATCCTAATGTCCCCCTTTTCTAGCAGCTCTATATTGGCGGTGTGTCTGAGATTATAACAAAGCTCTACAGTTATAACACTCACATCAATGTGTCATTAAACTACAATAAATATGTTTAGAGATCAATTTGTATAAATAAGCAAAAACAGTATTTTTGTGCTAAACTACATTTAGTTGCATAAATTATTAGTAAGTTACCTATATTTTTTATAGAAAATACCCACCGAGGCCACACCTCTATTTACACCACAAAAAAGAAAGTGTGTCTCTTTGTGCATTTGAAATGTTGGGACGTATTCACGACTGTCAAGGTCAGGGGTAGGCAATCACTGCCACTCTATATGTTGTGTACAACATCTCCCACAATGCTCTTAAAACAATAATGCTGGCAAATCCTCAGGGAAAATTTAGTCAACAACATCTGGGGATCTGTCAATATCTATTAACATTTGCAATGCTTCATCCTAAATATGGGCATTCAAATGGGTCAGCACACCTTTTGTAAACAGCAATACTTTATTTTTAGTGCATAGAGAAAGACAATGTTTCTTGTGACTTGCTTGTAGACCTTTATCAAGTCATAAAATACATTGTTGTGTGTCCATTGTATATAGGGATAAAGTGCAGATTAGTACAGAACTAGCTTATAGATAAGAGATAATTAACCGCACAGACCTGGCATGGCATTGTTGGTAATCCCGAGCAGCCTGGCCAGCTGCCGGTCCCATCCAGCACGTTTGCAAGGTCTTTGCTGGGCTGCACTGATAAGGAAACTTGGTGGAAAAGTACAGACTATCCATCCCATTGGTAAAAAAGACAGAGAAAACTTGGCACTCACTTGGAGTACTATCCACCTGTAATATGGACGCGTGTTGCTAGTTCTGCTGATTCCCAGTAGAGAGGGTCCCTTCAAGCCTGACTGCCAGAAGTTCTTTCAGTTGTGTGCAGCAGAGTGACCACCAAGCTTCTCTAATGGTGATGTATAACTTAAGCTGAATATCTAGATAATTAAACTGTTTCCTTAAGCTGAATGTGCACTATAGATTAAATGTTATTACTTATTAATTAAGTATCTGTTTATCAATAAAGTTTGTATTGATTATTTACAAGTATGGTGTCAGTGTCTTTCCCTTTCTCAAATACTCAATTCATTCAACCCGAATAGGGTTTTGGTGCCCACCAATATCTTTAAAAACCTTAGGGTAATTGATTATTGCTTTTTGATATTGGTGCTCCATGAATTTAATGATTAGGCACAACAACCCCTCTAAAGTCTCTGCACTCACTAAAGCCAGGGGCGTACCTAGAGCATTTGGCACCCGGGGCGGATCCTGTGCTTGGCACCCCCCCCACCCAAAAAAAAAACCTGTAAAAAATGTTAAAGGTTTTCTTTAATTAATCCACACTCCTTAATTAAACCATACCCCTTAATTAATCCACACTAATTCATCCACACACCCCTAAAGGACCACTATAGTGCCAGGAAAACATACTCGGCTCTGGAAGGGGGAAAGGGGTAAAAACTTACCTTTTTCCAGCGCTGGGTGGGGAGCTCTCTGCCTCCTCTCCTCCTCCGATCCGCCCCGCCGGCTGAATGCGCACGCGCGGCAAGAGCTGCGCGCGCATTCAGCCGGTCACATAGGAAAGCATTCATAATGCTTTCCTATGGACGCTGGCGTGCTCTCACTGTGAAAATCACAGTGAGAAGCACGCAAGCCCCACTAGAGGATTAGGGGGAAGGCTTAACCCATTGATAAACATAGCAGTTTCTCTGAAACTGCTATGTTTATTAAAAAATGGGTTAACCCTAGAAGGACCAGGCACCCAGAACACTTCATTAAGATGAAGTGGTCTGGGTGCCTAGAGTGGTCCTTTAATCCACCCCCCTTAATTGATACACACACCCTTAATTCATCCACACTAATTAATCCACCCCCTTAATTAATCCACTCCCCCATAATTAATCCACCCCCCCTTAATTAATCCACTACCATAATTAATTCCCCCCTTAATTAATCCACCCCCCATAATTAATCCACCCCCCCTTAATTAATACACCCCCATAATTAATACACCCCCATGATTAATACACCC